TATACTCTATTCCTTGATAACACGTGCACTTGAGTTCCTGTGTCTGCTTACCTGCTGTTACCATTATAAAAAGGGAGTTCCCATTCTCCTTGCTGGATTTACATGAAGTCCTGGAACATGCAAAAAGGTGTGTGGAAACACCCAAACGTAGCCCACCAGACTCTACTAACAATTAAAATATTACTTTATGGGGGTACTGACCTTTTAAATCATATTAAATATCTTCTTTATTTAGAGAACAAAAAATGGCAGCACTTTTACGTTTAATAAAAGATAAAATAGGTACTACTCATTTGATTGCACATCTGCACAAAGAAGAGTCGGCGAGGGAGCCAATCAAACCAGATCCATTACATAGTGTTGAGCACTGAGACTAAAATCTGGTGCCTTATGTTGTGCACAATCATGTGTGGACACCCAGCACAAATGCTGGAACAAGAAAGTGGAGGTAAGACAGATATTGTTATCCATCTCCATGTTCAAACTGCATATCTATTTCTGTAGGTGACCTTAGGAAGACATCAAAGTAGAGGTACCACATGAAGAAAAAAAAAGTTGGCACAATCAATCTGAATGGCAGCCCAATGGACCCTGCTGACAGATGTGCCTTTTGGAGCATTGCCAAAAATGCTACATGCACCTTTTTTGATATTGGACAGCTCATTCAAATAAGTGAGCTGAATTAACACAATCCACGTGTTCTAACGAAGCACAAAAGTATAAATGGGCCCTTCGTGAACTGCTTCCAAAGGTTGTAACCTGACTGCAAATAGGAAATTGGTTTCATCATTCACTCCTTGCCTACACATTTATTCAAGTGCATGTATAGCCAAAACTTGTTTTGGGCAGGCTGTGTAATACTGGGGAAATCTCCCTTCACTTCATGTCCCAATAATGCAATAAGAAGTTAGAGAAAGTCTCCCTAAGCAAGGAGTTTCAGTTGTCCCTGAAAAACGTGTTCCGATTGGAAGATTTCCCTTCTTTCACCTCTTGTTCTGGGGACAAACTCTAACATTTTGGAATCCCCAAAACAGGGAAGTAAAGCTCCCCAGCAGGGACACAGCAAATTCCAACTTGTCAAAGGGTCTAACCCTTTACAACTCTAACCAGAACTAAAAAAAAAAAAAACCCACCCATGGTAGCCAAATCAGAAATCCTCTATAAATAATCTGACTGAAATAACGAGCATTTTGCATCTGAAATGCTTTTTGCATTACTACTTAAAAAACCTAATTTGTGTCTGTATAGGCTGCACCAGAATAGACTGTAGGACTAGCACTTTGGTCTCACATGTCATCAAACTGTCTTTACCATCATATTCCTTCCACAACCACAGGTAGCAACAAAATTCAAACAGCATTGTTAATAACTACCTGAAGGAAAGTCTCCTTGAGGATAATCAAATCGGTGAGGGAAAGGTGGTCGCTCAAAGGGGTGGCGTGGGGCAAAGTCATCCTGCATAAACCGTGGAGGAAATCGATTGAAGTTGTGAGGGTGCGGTGGCTGGTTAAACTGAGGTGGATGTTGCTGATGAGGAGGGAAAGGCCCTCGAAAATGTGGAGGACGCTGCATGCGAAAATGGGGATCTCTCTGAGAACCACCCCACGGAGGCTGTTCATGCTGATTACTCCAAGGGGCATCAAACTGGTTATTCCATGGAGGTTCCCTCTGGCTGTTCCATGCTGGTTCTGGCTCATTGTTCCAGTTAGGATCCCGATCACTCCACATACTTTCATGGCTATTATTCCATGGAGGACAGTGTGGTGGGGGTGCCTGGTGATGAGGAAAAGGAGGCTGCTCACAAGGCTGTGGAAATAGGCAAAGGAAATTACTAATCAAAAAGCTCAAAACAATCATTCTTTAGAACTTCTAAAAGACTGCACAGAAAAAAAAAAAAGTATTAACATAGCACAACTATCAACAATTTTAGGAAACATACTGGGAAGGTGCTTTCACTCTGAAAATAATGTGTTTACCTGCTGCTGCCCCCAGGGAGCCATAGGCTGGGGCTGGTCAAACCAAGGTGGTTTGTTAGGAGGCATCTGTTCAAGAGGAGCTGGACCTCTAGCTGCAGCAGGATCCGGTACAGTTCCAGGAGGGGGCTCAAATTCTGTCGGAGTCGGGATAGCAAGTGCGGGTTTCACTTCCTCTGTGGTGAAACAGCAGCATTTAAAAAGAAGGAATCATGGAGTTACATACTGTATATGACATAAAAACACCTCTAGAAAGGGAGAAAAAAAACAAAACAAGGAAGAGTTGGCTACCTGGTGGGGGCACTTGAGCTGGTGCAGGAGCAGGTGCAGGAGGCTCTGGAATTTGCTCTATCACTGGGATCTGGATCTGCTGCTGTTGTTGCTGCTGCTGTTGCTGCTGCTGCTGCTGCTGCTGTTGTTGTTGTTGCTGCTGCTGTTGTTGTTGTTGTTGCTGCTGCTGTTTTAAGCTGGCTACAAACTCTTCATGTTGTGTTTTCAGGGTTTGGATCTGTTGCTGGAATGCCATGAGAATAGGTTGCACCACAGTGGAGTACTCGCTCAATAAAGAAGCCTAAATGAAGGGAAAACAAGACAAGATAATGACAACTTAGTAACACTGACAAATTCAGAAAGTAACAATTAGCCAAATGTGTGAAAGGATTGTGACAGGATCAGGACGTAAATACAAACATGTGATCTCATCTAGGAATGAGCCAAAAGAAGAACGTCTTATCTGAATAAACAGTATATAGGTGCACTAGCAGAAACAGGAAACAATTGGAGACAGGCCTTTCCATAGCAAGAAAATAGACATGTGTTCTAAAACTGAAAATGGCCAGAATTCCAGCTCATACTATCAGCTGCCCTTCCAGTGCTCTTTATAGAAAAATATGCATCTTCCACAATTCCTTCCTTTTCTGCCTGTAAATTCTGTTGCAACAGATCACTGCTTGGGAAAGTCTATTGGGAGAGAGAGCTTTCTGAACAGTGTTAAAGCACCCAACCCACCCAAAAGGACCTGCTCACATAGTGACAAAGGGGCATTGAAATGGGATTCTGGTACATCAAAAAAAGTTGGGAAGCGGTGTGAAATCTACGTAAAAACAGAATGCAATGATTTGCATATCTCATAAAAAAGGCATATTTTATTCACAATAGAAACCATATCAAAAGTTTAAACTGAGAAAATGTGCCATTTTAAGACAAAAATAAGGTAATATTGAAATTGATGGGAACACTTCTCAAAAAAGTTGGGACAGAGCCATGTTTACCAGGGTGTAGCATCCCCTCTTCTTTTATCAATCCTCTGTAAATGTCTGGGAACTGAGGAGACCCGTTGCTGGAGTTTTGGGGGAGGAATGTTGTCCCATTCTTGCCTGGTAGAGGATTCTAACTGCTCAACAGTCCTGGGTCTTCTGTTGTATTTTTTGCTTCAACATGCGCCAAATATTTTCAATTGGTGAAAGGTGTGGACTGCAGGGTGGCCAGTTAAGCACCCGGACTCCACTACTATGAAGCCATGCTGTTGTCATCTATGCGGTATGCAAGGCCTTGCCTGAAAAAGACGGCGGCGTTTCTGGATCATGTTTAGATATGGCTTCTTCTTTGCATCATAGAGCTTTAACATGCATTTATGGATGGCACAGCAAACTGTGTTCACAAACAGTGATTTTTGGAAGTATTCCTGAACCCATGCAGTGATGTTCATCACAAAATCATGCCTGTTTTTATTGCAGCGCCGCCTGAGGAGCCGAAGATTACAGGCATCTACTATGGAGTTTTGGCCTCGTCCCTTGTGCGCAGAGATTTCTCCAGATTCTCAGAATCTTTTGATATTATGTATTATAGATGATGCTATACTTAAAGTCTTTCCAATTTTACACCGAGGAGCATTATTCAGGACTCCACAATTTTGAGACGCAGCTTTTCAGATTAGTGAACCTCTGCCCATCTTTACTTCTGAGACACGGACTCTCTAAGATGCTCTTTTGTTTTTGTTATGACCTGTTCACAATTAACCTAAATAGTTGCAAAATGTTCTTCCAGCTCTTCCTTGTTAGTACAACTTCCTTTGCCAGCTGTTTGTTGCCCTGTCCCAACTTTTTTGAGACATGTTGCTGCTACCAATGTCAAAATGACCTTTTTTTTTAAATGGTACTTTTTCTCAGTTTAAAACATTTGATGATATGTTTTGTATTGTGAATCAAATCTGGGTTTATAAGAATTGCAATATGTTGCATTCTGTTTGTATGTAGATTTTACATAGTGTCCCAACTTTTTTGGAATTGGGGGTTGTACCTGTTAAACACACTAAAAACTACGGGTGTAAAACGTAGAAATATTAGTGGTCAGGGAAGTGATGGATTTCTTGCAGCGGAAACCCACACAAGGACAGTGGTTTAGCTGCACATGCAATGTTGTCTGGAAAATAGACTGTACTGGATGCTTTTCTGCATACAAAACAGTGTAAAGATAGTCATCATATTTTACCCTTAAAACTCCATTAACTAAAACATTTATAAAAACACATTTAGCACAAACCAACATAAAATCACATATAGGGCTTTTACCGTTTTTGTTTTGCACTGCAGACTATGATCATGATAATGAATTGCTACAGGCTTTTAGGATTTGCATGTTAAAATGCAATCTTTCTAGACAGCATTAGGGAACTCCTAGAGAGAAAACTGGGGAAGGAAGCGCTACTACCCTATTGGATGAGGGTGGTCACAAAATTCAATAAATGTGGTGGATAATACACAATAATGGATATCACGGATAGAAGAAATCACTCACTGTTTGATGCTCTATTTGCGGCCAGAGGGTGGCGTTGCACTGCTGAGGCGGAGGGGGGTTCGTGGGTCAAAAGACCATAAAGTTCAAATGGAATGTGGACTCAGTCTAGGGTGAGTGGTATATGTAGAGAGAAACGACAGAACTCAGCTGGCCAAGCTGAGCCTGCTGGACTCTGTAAGAGAGCGGCGGGGCATGCCGCTGCTGTACTGTCTCTTGAGCCGCGGCTCGCTGTGTCTGTCAGTGGCGAACAACGTGGGTTGACAGTGTGACGTCAGTGAGGGGCTGGGAGGCAGCTATCCAATGGGTGGCTACGCGTTTCGAGGCCGATGCCTCTTTCTCAAGCCGTACAGGGAAATCAAGAACGGACGGGAATCAAAAGAATTTAAATGTGACAGGTGGGCGGGTACAACACCCGTGTCAATTCCTGATTGGTGCAGAGCTAAACAAAAGGTGTGGTTTGCGGCTAAGACATCGTATTGGTAGAACTGTTATTCACAGACAGAACACATTTGGGCATGCAAACATCTAGGAGGCATGTTTAAACACAACATTTTTTAGTTTGTTGGACTGTTACAACAAGGACTTTATACATGGATGGGGAATTCTGACCGGGGGCTATATGTCTAAAACATGGACCATGGTTTTCAAGAAGTATTAATTGATGTAAAAGAATAAAATATTGTTATACAAAAAATGTTTTACAATGAGAACATATTTTATTATTAAAAGGTTTTTTTTTTAAATCTAAAGAGAAGGGAAGGAATTTAGATCATAGTAAAATCAGTTAAAACCTGTGGATCACAGTATAAATTAAAATAAACTATATTTGGTTTTATTTTGATTCTCTGTGCACGGAAATGATTGGCTTAAGGGACTGCTGCTCATAAGATTGTATGTATCTCGATTTCCTCATTCAAACCGGTTGGTACCAGTGTATTCAATTTATAGATCCAAAAAGTTTCTCTTTTGCATAACTGGCGAAACCTTTCAGAAGGTGATAATTGGGTGGATATATACGTGTAATGCAGATGTATTTTTATAGTGTTTATTGATGAAATGTCTGGGGACGCTGTGCTCTGTATCACCCTTCTCAATTAAGCGTCCGTGCTCACTTATTCTTTTGCGCAGGCGGCGCATGGTGCGTCCAACGTAAATGAGCCCACATGGACATGTAAGGCCCTATATTACATGATCGTGAGCACAAGTGATAAATTGTTGGATCTTGTAAGTATTGTGTAGCTGGTCATTGAACTCGTTTTGTCCATGGCCGATAAATTGACACGTCAAACATTTCGGTTTCTTACATCTGTATACACCCACTCTGTTATCAAACAAGAAATTTTTGTTTTGAGTTGTTTTGGAGTGTTTCAATAATTTACTAGGTGCCAGGAGGTTCTTAATGTTTTTGTTTTTTCTAAAGTAAATGGGGGGGTTTGGGGGGCAGTAAGGGTCCCAATTTTGGGTCTTTCAGCAAAATGTGCCAATTTTTATAAATCACTTTTTGAATGGCTTTATATTTGTTATTTAAAGTAGTAATGAACCTAGTACAGTTATTTTGGCTAAGAGAACGATCTTTTTTAGCATTTGTGGATTTATCAGATGTAAGATACTGTGTGTAAGCCTCTGTGATGAGCTCTTCATGATAGGATTTGTCAGCAAATTTTTTGGAGAGCAAGAGACTGGAAGTGGTATAATCCGAATTGTTGGTACAGTTTCTTTTAAGTCGGCAGAACTGGCTCTTTGGAATGTTGTTCTTCCATCGCAGATGGTGGCAGCTATGGTAATGGAGATAAGAGTTGCCACCAGAGGGCTTGACATGGTTTATGGTGATATTACTCTCGATAGTTGTCAACTCTAAATCGAGGAAGACCAACTCGGTGGGGCTGACGACATGGGTGAAAGAGAGACTAAGGTTATTATTATTACAATAGGCTACAAACTCTATAACTGTATCTGGGGGGCCATCCCAGATAATTACTGTATCGTCAATATATCTGCCGAAATAAAATATCCTATTGGCATATGGGTTGTTCTTCCATATATTTAAAGATTCCCAATGGCCCATGGTTAAATTAGCATAACTCGGAGCATAGTTTGCTCCCATGGCTGTCCCTTTAGTTTGTAGATAAAATTTGTCCAGGAACGAAAAATGTGGGTTAACGTAAATTCGGTACAATCCATGATGAATTGTGCCCGAGTATGGTTGAGGGATGAATTTGAAAGAAAAAACAGAAGGGCATTTAATCCTACGGAATGGGGTATTGAAGTATATAGTGAACACACATCTAGAGATAACCAACAGTATGGTTGACTGGAATCTTTTATGTAAGATGGAAGGGCTGTGACAATCGGCTGAAGAAATTGGTCTATGTAGATAGACAGACCGCTGGTAAGACTATTAGTGCTCGCTATTATTGGACGTCCGGGTTTTTTTTTACTGTCTTTATGTATCTTTGGCAAATGATAGAAATACAGTGTAGAGGATGCCCCACATCTGTATACATTTATAATCCCACTGAAGTCAACCACTAAGTTTAACATTTTCAGGGATGATAAATTACCTGGTACTGTCCCAAACCAAGGGCAGGACTCTGCAGTTGCTGGATTGTAGCTTCATCAAAATAACCATTCTTCTCCCAAAGCTGGAGCAGCTGTAGGGGGAAAAGATCATACGGCTAATAATAATGTGCTGTATAAGTCTCAAACAGGTAAATCAAAAACAATTGTGTGTGTCTTAGTCTTTTAGTTTAAACCCTTTCCTATCCTGAGGATGCTTTTCACTGCATGAACATTTAAGTGTTTTATAAATAAAGAATAAGTATAAAAAAGCTGAATACTACTGGTCAATATAATGATAAACAAATGATAGAGTTTCTACCAAAACAAAATCAGTTGTCTTACAGCAAAAAGGGCTCTAAAATAGCTAGAGATAATATAACGGAATCAAAATGCGAGTTGTTGCCATATTAATGACTTTAGATATTTTATTCTATGTGGAAAAATAAAACAAGGAATACATTTCATTACTAACTCCACTTCTGTACCTAAAGCTTTATCTTCCAGTTTTTACAAAACAGGCCTATTATGTGTAAAGATATTCATAAGGTAAAATCATAGCCAAACCTGTTATTAGCAAGCATTTTCATATGATCCTTAAGAGAAATAGATAGAAATAGTTTCTAAAATTTGTCAGGTAAGACCAGACACAAAAGATATATATTCACCTGGGGTAGTGGACTTTCAGAGCAAGTTGGGAGTAAAATGTACTGAAGGGGAGGGACACTACAAGAGAACTAATCATAAAAGGGGTTTTGTAGAACTCAGAATCACCACTCTTAAATTGTTCAACCTGACCCCAGTAATGATAAACAGAGACTCAAACCCTTATAACAATGGCGCCGTCAGGATCACACGAAAGAAAACTAAAGGCTTTGTTAGCGGACAATTTTGTCTTCCAATAGCTGCCCAAACAGACAATGTGTCATTTAACAGCTCAGAGGCTCTGTCTGAACAGCCTTCATGGACAGTGACAGCATTCACGTGCTTAGAGCCAGGATCTGAAGTTGGACCAAGCCCGGTTTTTTGTCACACTTTACAACTTAGCACAGTGGGGGAGTTGTAAAGAAAGCAGGATCAATGTAATGTTTGCCACATTATTACAATTATGATGTTTTATACCCAATGCTTGGGCACTAAAATAAATAAATACTTACACGTGCAATCTTCTGTTGCTTGTCTTCTTCCACTGCTAAGAAACTGGTACAGTAAATAGGGACCACTACTTTCTGAAGAGCTGCCAGAAGTTCTCGAGCTTGCTTTCTCTGACTGTGAGCAAAAAAATACTTACAATAACTACAACTATATCTGTAATGTAGTTATCCTTTCAGGGTAAAGCAACAGGTTTGCTTAAATCCTCCCATCAATAGCAGCCATTCAGCATCAGGAACCAAAAAGAAAATACCTGGCACTTTAAGGCATGTGACAGAACTGGGCCAGTTGGAGCTGCCACATAGGGAGCCCACTGCAAGTTATGACTCTGGTGACCCCTAGCTTGCACAGGGCTTTTCTTTCACTTCCAGCAGCTCAGTGGAGCAGCAGGGAAGTGAAAGGAAGGCAAATATAGGAGTTTGTGGAGGTTTGCAATAATGTGAACCTGTTGCTTTGCCCTGAAAAAGCAAAATTACAGAATAACTTTAAATACAAAAATATTTTTTTTAGGTGATGTGCTGGAATGATCTGCAACAGCTGTTACCAAACTTTCCATTAAAAGTACATACATAAATTCCGTGTGCAGCTCAAAATGAACTGTAAAATGTCTCACTTTCATTTGCTTTATAAAATAGCTCCACAGTAACCCCCACCGCCAGTTGTCTGCAGCTACGGACTGATGTTCTCTGGGGGAGAACATTGATCTTTCTGCAATGGCCCAACACAACTCCCCACCCCTTTCCTATCTACAACTAGCCACACACGGCCACATTTACCAAATTCCTGTTGGATTGGACAAAACGTGCTGTGGTTGGGCTTGTTTTTTTCCCACGGTTTGACAAAAGGCTAGGGATGCACCGATAACAATACTATTATCGGTATCGGTGCCGAGTATATGGGCGAGCACTCGCCCAAATGCTCCGATGACTAGCCCGATACTTACGGTATCAGAAAGCCGGGCAGCGTATAATGACGCTTTGTGATTGGCCGGGAAGCCATGCTTTGTGATTGGCCGGGGTTCCCGGCCAATCAGGAAGCCGGGCAGCGTGCAATGACGTGCTGCCTGGCTTCCTGATAGGCCAGCTTCTGACCAATCAGGAAGCCAGGCACCGTGTAATGATGCGGCACCCTGGCTTCCCGATTGGTCTCGAAGCCGACTTCATGCTCCTTCATCACCTCATGACGAGGGAGCAAGGAGCCGGCTTCCCGGCCAATCAGAAAGCCAGGCGCCGCGTCATTAGACAGCGCCCGGCTTCCTGATTGGCCAGAACGCCGGCTCCATGCTTTCTCATCACTTAGTGACGAGAAGCATGGGGAACGGCTTCCTTGCTAATCGGGAAGGCAGGTGGCGAGTCTTTACACGCTGCCCGGCTAATCAGGAAGCCAGGTGGCGAGTCTTTACATGCCGCCTGGCTTCCTGAATGGGACTTCCGATACTCGATATTGGCGAGTACCGACAAAAGAAAATACCGGTACTCGATACCAAAATACCAGTATCGGTGTATCCCTACACAATTCGATTTTAAAATTAAAGGAGCTTGGTGGAAAATTGTTGCCCGAACAGTGACTGCACCCTATCAGATGCAATCACCGTTTAGGTATTCAGGAATACAATAGTCGCAATGTAGATTACTCCATCTACACGTGCATTGCTAGCCTTATTGAGATTTACAGTTCTGTAATCAGTAAGGTGAGTTGTGCTTTGTGGTAGGGTTTAGCTCATCAGTTCCTACTGCAACTATTATGTATCAATTGCTCACAGTTATCTTAGGTGAAGTCTAAGAGAGAAAATCTGTTTTAAATCTTTCAAAAAAAAAATACAATAACTAGTTCTACCTAAATAAAGAATCCCAATTCTTCAAACTATCATCGGGGAAATATTTAACAGTAAATAAGCATATTGAGACCATATAAAAAGTGAAGTTCAAAAACATCTGCCACATATTAGAAATTCAAGTGCCGATGTAGACTAAGATGAAATATAGCAAGCTGGATATAGTTACTTCTCTTTCCCACATTAACATCGTAGTTACCTTATGAGCTGTAGGAACAGCCCACTCACTCAGTACAGTGGCATCATAAGTTGAAATCTCAGGGTGCATAGACTATAATGCGAATAAGTTTAACAGAAAATGGGGTATAACAGGCCAAGAGCCCCGCAGCCAATGCTCTTTAAAAATGGCAGCTGGCACCTAACTTTTTAGATTTTCTCTAGCTCTTGTCAACACAGCTGGCTCCTAAAAAAAAAATCCTAAAAATCAGAGCTTCCCATAGTGAGCATCAAAGTGCAGCTAAATGTCACTGCTTAGAAAACTACTAATACGGTCATATGAACAGGCCTAAACAACTTAAAAAGCACTGTGCAAAACAGCTGTAAGGGTACAGGGTAAAAAGGACCAAATCACATGGCACTACTTACCAGTGATGGAGAACATCATTAGTTAAGTAAATCAAATGCAGACGCAATTCGAAGTGTGCTCCTTCAGCCGTAATCCGATTTCGCAAGTGACCAGCCATAAGCTCACAATGCTGAGGGGTTTTGGCATTGCTGAACATCCAATTCTTGCCTGCCTGTGAACATCATTTATGAAGCAGATCTAAGTTACACATGTTCTAGTTCACTTAATAAAAATACACTACTGCCAATTTCTTCTTAAGAGAGCAATTGCCTTCAATAGTAGGGTCAAGCACAGATGTGCACATTCTGGTACAAGATCTGCTGAATAAACTGACCATTATCAACCTTCCTATCTTCATACGTTGCTATAACAGAACAAATAGTGTGACAGAAGCTGGACTAAAATGGCAGATATTTGTTGCCCAGAGTGCAGACTTGGGCGGTCATGGGCTCCAGGGAAGCCTGGTGAGTAAAGGTAATTCTCTCTTTAAGGGGCCGATTGTAAAATTACTCGGTTTGGACTTGAGTTGGGGGTTGCGGAAGTGACTGGGTGAATCTAAAGCTCAATTGCCCTGATACACAAATCCATCTGCCAGAATATCTGGCTTGTTAAATAAGGGCCTTGAAGCCTGACGGGGAAGGGGTTCTCTTAAGGCCTTAAAATAAAAAGGAGAACGGTGAATATATTTCACTTATGAAAGCAACACATCTGGTAGAATGTTAAAGGAGAACTATGGGCTTCTATCTTTTCTTTATTAATGCATTTCTTAGGCTAAATAAGTAAATTATGTATTTACTCTAATTAGCCAAAATGCACAATAAGGCTGTAAAACCTAATTTAAGGTGGTGGGCGGGGCTAAGCGCCGCAATGAGGAGACATCCCGACGTGTCTGACGGGATCCTCCCCACTGATCTTCCTCACTGTGCCCGACAGTGATTCTTGAGAGCTGCTGCGCGTCCACGAATATATGGACATGCGCAGCAGCTCTCTTATCTGCACGTCCCCGTGTGCCAGCCTTCAAGACAGCTGCTGTGTAGCTCTTGATCCCCTCCCTCCTCCTCATCTGTCCCGCCTACTTCACGACACGTGTAGTGTACAGCACAGTCAGTCCATATATGGTGAATTATGTCACTGGGTATCCCTGCAGACTGGAAAGCATCCGATCAGCAGGGATCCCCAGTGACATCATTCATCATATATGCATTGGCCATACGTGGTAAATGCTGGAGAGAGAGGGCTCCGTCCCCTCTCTCTCCCTGCCATGTGTGACAGCAGCTTTGGCGGCCTTATCGAGCAGCAGCAGGAGGAGCGGGTCCAGATCCCCACAGCTACGTTCAGGTGGTGGAGGAAGCCGGGATCCGTAAGTGCGGTCTGGCAGAAGAGCCGGCCGAGACCCTGAAACGCCGTCGGATAGCATAGGAGGCTGGGACACAGAAGCGCTGACAGAAGTCATTTTCATACTGAAATGACCGTGGATCGCTGATGACAGAGGGGAAGGAGCTCTCTCTCTCTCTTCAGCATTTACTACAAATGGGAAAGTCCATATATGGTAAATGATGTCACTGGAGATCCCTGCTGATCGGATGCTTGCCAGTCTGCAGGGATTCCCATTGACATCATTCACCATATATGGACTTGCCCATTTGTAGTAAATGCTGAAGAGAGAGAGAGGGCTCCTTCCCCTCTCTCATCAGCGATCCCCAGTGAATTGAGGATGTCAGCGTCACTCAGGGCAGGGAGAGAGAGAGAGGGGAAGGAGCCTTCTCTCTCTCCATCATTTACAACGTATGGCCTGCTGATCGGATGCTTGCCAGTCTGCAGGGATACCCAGTGACATCATTCACCATATATGGACTTGCCGATTTCTCGTAAATGATGATGGAGAGAGAGGGATGGCTCTTTATCCCCTCTCTCTCTGCCCCTATGTTATGCTGACATCCTAATTACTGGGGATCGCTGATGAGAGAGGGGAAAGAGCACTGAATTAGCAGGGAGGCTGAGTCCGTTTTTTTCATACCATCTCTTGCAGCAGCCTTCTCACTTCATACTCCGCCTCCCGATCACACATGCCAGCGTGCACGAGCTGGCATTTCACAGCTGTGCACGATGA